TTTACTTCAAACTGCCCTTTTCTACTACATCAAAGCAATGATTTAATTTTTACATAGCCAAGTGTGTAGCACACTTAGTGGAAAAACAACTAGATTTGGGATCACAAAATGTATGCTGAAAGCATTTGTTTTCGACTTACTAGCTATATACCTTGGGAAAGTTACTAATTCACGAGAAGCATGGTGTAGTGGACAGGGGATTACATCTGAAATAAAAAACATGTGTTTCAAAATTGGATTTGCTAGCTGATGCCTACATAAATCAAGGGGGGAAATTCACTTTATATTTGAGCTTCTTCATCTAAAAAAAATAGGAAGAAAGATATAAGAGAGGGGATGGACAAAATGATCTCCAAATTCCCTTCCAGCACCAAAACCTGTGATCTCATGATTCAAAAATACTAAACACTATCTGTACTATGGAGCTTATCAAAACATTATAATAAGACATCATATGCTAAAGTGCAGAATTTGTTCTAAAATTATCTAAAGGGTTAGGGAAATCAGAAATACTAGACTCATCTCATTAGTCTCAAAGTCTTACTTTTAATATTGTTCAGTAATATAAACACAAAGAGCCATAGACTGAGTTGTAAACATGGGTTCCAGTTTTAATTCTACTATTAATCAGTTTTGTGAGTAGGAGCAAATCACATATTCTTTCAAGGACACCAAGTTCACAGAACCATAGAACTGGAAGAGAAATGCTGGCTATCTAATCCAATAAATTCCTAAAGCCATTCAATATTCAATAGAACTACAATAGTTATCTAGCTTTGTTTTAATGCTGAAGTTATTAACCTGGGATCAGTGAATTAAAAAAAATTTAATAACTCTTTCCATTTTTGGCTTCTTTTGTAAGCCTAGCATTTTATTTTAGGCATTTAAAAACTTTGTATCTGGAGAAAGAGTCCAAGGGCTCACCAGAAGGCCCAAAGGGTCCATGACACACATAAAAAGGTTAAGTACTTCGGCTTTAATGCTTCCAGAGAGGGAACCTACAACCTCCTGAGGAAGTCCATTCCATTTTTCTATAGTTTGATTGTTAGGAAGATTTTCCTTGTTCCAAGCCTCAAACTTGTCCCCACAATTTATCCCCAGCGCTATTAGTAAACTTCTACAGGACTAAAAAGAAAAGGTTTCATCTCTCTTGTTTAGGTGACAACTCTTCAAATACCTGATAATTATAATACCAATCCCCTCTCTACTCCAAGTATGTTCTTCTCCAAGATAATATGCCCCAGGGTTCCTTTAATCATTCCTTATGTGGCAAAAATTCAAGGGTATTCATCATCCTGGTTGTCTTCATATCATCTATTGGTGGATCAATGTCTCCACCCCCCCGAAAAAACCTGAAAAATGCTCTAGATAAACACCAAACAGGGCAGAGTTTAGCACCTCATTGCTTGAAACTATGTTGCCCTTAAAACAGAACATGAGGCCACAGGTTCCCCACCCCTGGTTAAGATTTCATTAGCTCTTATTTCCGTATCTTATTTTATACTCAAACTAATTTTATACTCAAGCTAAAGTTCACTAAAATCGAAGATCTTTTTCAGATAAACTGCTTTGTATTCAAGCTGTCTATATCCTTAATTGTGATGATTTTTCAAGTAAAACCATAGGAGTTTATGTTTATCCCTATTAAATTACATTTTACTCAGTTTACGCCAGTGTTCTGGCCAGTCAAGACTTCTTGAACCTTGAATCTGTCATTCAGTGCATTATCTCTCTCCCCCAGCTTAGTCACTTGCAGCTTTGATTAAAAAGTTATTTCAGTGACTGACAGGAAAACAGTATGGGACCAAGAGTCACATTAGAAATTTTGACAAAAAAGAAAATAAGGCTTGTATGACAAACTATTCTTGATGAAGCCAGGTTGGCTTCTTGTGATTGCTTCTTTTTCTATCTAACCCATCTAATATGCATCCAAAAATTTTCTAATATGTTCATAATCAAAGTCAAAATTTCAGTTTTCAAGTCTTCCCTCTTTTTAAAATTTGACATAATTATGAAAGACTTAAGAACTCTATCAATGCAGTGATAAATCATAATTCCAGAGAACAAATAATGAAGAATGTTACCTCCAAATGGGGAGTTGATGGACTAATGTGCAGAATGAGACACTTATTTTTGGATATGGCCAATATGGGAATTGGTTTTGCTTGACTACCCTTATTGGTTATAAGAGTTTGTTCTTTTTTTTTTCTTTCTTAGTAGAAGTGAGAAAAAAACATTATTGTTAATCAAAAAAGAGAATTAAAAAAAAATTGTGTTTCTTTTTGCACTTCAAGTCTACTACCTCACTGTCAGGCCATGGATAATGTTCTTCGTCCAAGGTCCTCTGGAGACATGGCTGGTCATTGCATCAATTCAATTTCTCAAGTCCCTCAAAGTTATCTTTCTTTAAAATGTTGAGGACTTTATAAAAATTCCTTGGAACTTGAACTCCTTTCTGTATGCTTGTAATATTTATCTAAGCACAGTGTATCATCTTAATACATAATGCTAATTAATTACTCTTTTTCACCCATCATCTTTAGTATCATATACACCATGCAAATATGATATATAGGGAGGTCGTTACTAACTTTTAATATTAAAGGTTATTAATATTTACTTCTGAGGTCAGATTTCCCATCTTGTGTTAGCATCTTTAGTTCATCTTGCTTGCTGCCATACTTTGTGCATTTTCATATACATAACCATCTGTGGCTATGGTTTTTTGTTACTGGATCCTTTCTTGGATTTTGTCTCTCATTGTCACAACTCTCTGTGGTATCTACTTTAGTGGTTATACACACGCAGTTTTCTCCTTTGCTCTCCTTACTTTTCAGTTTAAAGCTCTTAAAAGATTTATAAGACTCTACACCAAAAAAAAAAATCTTTTAACTTTACAATTGTGTTTACTCTGAATTTAATGAACACCTTTCTTTCTCTAAAAAGAAGAGTTCTATATACAAAACAGAAGAGAAAAAAGAATTATATGGGAAACACCAAATGTCTATCACTTACAGACTGCTTTTTTAAATAGTGAATAATTTCTCCATTTTACTTTTAAAGTTGTCCTGCTTATCTATTTCCCTCCAAATTCTCTTGTATTTTATCATGAGCATTTTATTAGATGCTTCAATGACTTTCATTTCTTTTCATGGACAATACTTTCATTAGGTTCTCCATTGCTTCCAAATACCCTCCCCTTCAAATGAAAAGGGAAAAAATGTAATCCTTGTAGGTAAATTAGCATAGTCAAGTAAAACAAATCCATACATCTCAGGCAAGTACATTGTTACAAGGTGTCATTAAGTATGGTCCATTACTTCTTTGAGTTGTAATCCTATAATCCAAATCCTATTCTCAGGTGCCATCTTCCTAACTAGCTGTTCACTTCCCAAATGTGCTTCTTTTCTGAATTCCCTTTCCTCCAATAGGCATCAGTGCTAAAAACACCACATGAGTCCTCACGGTACTCATTCAGTTTCTTGCCCTAAACTTTAACATCTTTGGGAATGCTTGCTATGGTCTTCTTGGGAACATCCTTTATGACAATGTAGGTCATAAGAAGCTAATAGTCATCATTCTTTTTGACAAATATTGCAAAATCCTTTGTCAACTGAAAAAACATTCCTAAGAGAACAGTGGTCCTCTCTATTGTGGCAGTTACCCAGCTGACAAATAGCTGCCACAGTACCCTCAGCCATGAGTCAACGCAACCACTACTCTTCTCCTCTTCCTTTGTCACTTGTATCAACTTTCACCTAATGTAACTATGGATTTAGAACACTTTTGAGAGGAAAAGCTGCTGCTGCTCCCTTACGGAATGCAGCTCCTTTCTTTTTCATGAAGAGTCCCAAATTACATTATTACGTCCAAGTGGCTCTTTTTTTGTGCCCCCACTGGATACATTCTTTCCTACTCCTAATTCCCAATACAGGTCAAGAATCAAATCTGCCTTTGGTTAACAGGGAAGCCCTTCTTGTGATTTAAAACAAAACAGAACACTAATTACTTTGTCTCTCATAACCCAGATCAGGGGTTCTTAACCTGAGGTCTGTGAACTTTAAAAAATATTTTGATAACTAAATGATTTCAACAAAATTTGTTTCCTTTATAATCTTACACATTTTACTTTATGCATTTAAAAACACTATTCTGAAGAGTCTGGAGGTTTCACAAGAAGTCCATGACACAAAAAAGTTTAAACATCCATGACCTAGATGGTGGAAAGACAATGACAGTGCTTCTTCAACTCCTCTTACAGAACAGAAAACCTGTCCTCTGAACATCGGAGTGTTGCCTGGCCATCAAAGAAATATAAATGTCACATCCTCAATGCAGATCCTAACAACTTCCCCTTGAACCAAAAGTGAGATTCTCAGTGCTTATTTTAGTAGTTCTCCCACAATGGTGTGGCAAACTGCTAGAGGGTATTATTACAGATTTGGCTCTCTCCATTCCATTAATAGTTCTACATCATGTTTAACCCTTCTAACAGCTTGACAGTCAGCTTAAATTTTTCTTTTTTCTCTCTAACCCTATTAAAAATTATCTAGCCAAACATCAACTTTCTTTTCTTGCTTCTTCAGTTCAAGTCCCTCACCTTATTCAAGTTTTCTTTGGGTCCTTCACTTCCTTCTGCTCTTCCTTCTCCTAAGGTTCTACTATTTAGCCTGAAAACGTCTCCTCCTTTAATTCAAGCCCTTCCCCTTCAATTCTTGCCCAAGTTCTCTCAAATTTCTCCTCCCAAAATTCAATCTCTGACCTTCTTCCAAATTCCAGTGCCCTTCAAATTATCTTTGCAATTTATACTCCTTTATTCAATTGTCTCCTTTCTCCTGTCTCCAAGCAACTATCTTCTTCAGAGCTTGTAATGTGAAGGAGCTGAACTATTTATAGAGGAGGTTCTTTTCATGTCTACAATTTTATAATTATATATTATTATGAGGGAAAAGTTTTTTCTTTTATTATGCTGTGTAGAAAATTTAAGTTTGCATACATACCTGCAATTCAGTAAGAACAGTTTTATGCCTCTTATTACATTCAATCTTTTCCACACGCATTTTCAGGTCTGCCAAGGTCTTATCAAACACGGCATACTGCAGAACACTCAGTTTTTCTTCTAATAGCCGCTGTATAACCTAATGTATATGAAACAGTGTTATCATATCACAAAATACAGGATATTAAGCAGTGAGCATTATATCCATAACAGTAACAATTTGTCAACTAATTCCACAGACTGAAATGTACAGTCAGTTGTACCTATGACAAAACCTCTTTTTTTTCCTTTTGTAACACAAATGTTCTCCTGCTGATCCTATAGGGTTATAAATCTTAGAACTCCAAAACGTTATGACATCAAAATTGCAGGAACAATGTGCGGGGAATGTAAATAAACTGAACTGTATTTTCAACAATGGCTAATGGGGGAAATGTGGCATAAGGGATATTATCTAGGAAAAATAAAGAAAGAGGAGTATACTACAGTTATGTAGGGCAGATGAAGGTTAAGAGATGAACACATCGCTGTTACTCACAAAATTTAAAGAGAACTAATGGAAAGCTTCTGACACACTGGGTAAAGTCTCTCAATGGAGCAATAGGTCGCCAAGTCTTCTTGATTCTACTTCCACATCTTACTTCTATCAATTCACACTCTGCTGTTGAGATCATAGATCTATTGAAGTATTGACTGATTAAGTATTAAAGTCAACTAATTTGTCTTAAAAATAATTCAACAGTCCTGAAACATGAAACTATTTATTTGCCTGCAGGCTCTTCAAAAAGAACCTCAAGTAATCACTAAAAATGTGTAAATTTTCACCAAAACGGCCATTTCTTACATTTAACTCCAAACATTTAATATGCATTTCTGAATACATTATTTTTCTATAATTTTCCTGCCCTCACCTGTTTCTAGTCATCAGTTCATTTTTCCCTGCATATTATCTCACCTTAGTCAAAAACGCCCAGACCTACCAATACAGATGCGAAACATTATTTGACTTGACCATATAAGGAATTGTCCCTGGCAAAATATAATTAGTTGATTTTGGAGAACAGGATAAAACACATTCCTTCCCTCTACAGAGAAATAGGAGATTAGGGGTGCCAAACATTGCCTACGATATTAAATTAGATATAGTTGCTCTTTTGATTAGTTTTACTTAACTGTATTTCTTACAAGGTAAGACTCATTGGGAAGTGTGACATAAAAGGACATGACTATGTTGTTTAAAAAAAAAAAAAACATGAATTAAAAAAAATACTCCTGGAGGAATATACTATTATTAATAGGAATATCAATTTTTACAATCCACTCTGGGAAATTTCCTTAATAATAATAAATACCATTATTTCATTATTAATATTCTATAAACATTAGGTCACATCTTTTTCTCTAAGCCAAAATCAGCTTGCTTGTAGGAAGAACAAAAGGTTAGTACTTAAGAGTTTGTTTTTTTTCCTCCTCTAGTACCAGCTCTGCTACCAATAAAATGTTTAATAAGAAAGTCATGTTATATTTCTCCGAATCGAAGTTCCCTGACCTATAAACTAAAGGAGTTGGCCTAGATTGATAATTCTAAGATCTTTACTTCCTCTAAAATTCTATGTAACGCTAAGTGTCTCTATATAGCTTGAGAACTTACAAAAATGACTTAGCCCTTAGGGAACCTCAATATCCTCAAGTGACAGAAAAAAGTCATAATACTAAAATGGCAATGTAGTTTGTGAACAAATGATAAGACCAGTACAAGTATGACCTGTGTTCATGGCCTATTTCTGAGACAATCAGGCTATGTGACCATGGGCATATTACTCAAGACAAGTAGTTATTTAAGTTGAAAAATTACAGAGGAGCTGCTGATCTGTATCTCTGAAGGGAGTTTCCCTTGATGATTAAATCATACGTCTAAATTCTTACTCTAACCTCAAATTCCTACACCTCTGTTTTGTGAAGGCACACCAGGAAATATAAAAGTACTATGAAGAACAATAGGTATTGTTACCTGTATTCTAGATTAAGAATACAGAAGTCATAGCAAACAAAGGTAGAAGGAAAAAAAGGAAGGAAATTGCACACAATCACCCAGACTTAATAAACATGAAGCCCACTGACAGTCTTGAGTGTAGCCCAAACCAGATTAAAATGTGAGAAATATTTAATAAAATAAAAATACAATAAAACATAGATAATACTAATGTGTTATTTTCAAAGTCAATATAGAGCCCTGGAGAAATCCTTATGAACAGCTTAATGATCCCCATTTCTATTTGAGTTTGATATTACTGCTCTAGAAGTTCTCCTTTATCTTTCTACTCCTTTCATCTATCCTCCTAGCACCTTAAGCATCATAGAATGATCTATACCTTTCAATATGGACACTAAAACTTGTTTTTCACATGGTAAAATGTAAGTGTCTCCCCTACATTATCTCTAGTTTATCTTCTTTACACATAGTTGTTTGCATGTTGTCTCCCCCATTAGATTGTAAGTTCCTTAAAGAGTAAGATTTTTTTTTTGTTTTTCTTTTTATCCCCAGCATTTGTTATTTAATATTTGTATAATTCAAGAGAGAGGGAAAAAAAGAGAAGTAACATATAAGAACAGGTGTCTAAAACAAGAGTCTAATTGGAGGACGGAGCCACGAACTCCAAACCTCCATTTAAGGACAAAGCCCATCTCAGATATTTCCTCATTCCTACCTGGCTACTTATTTTGAGATGTCTCCAACTTCTCTCCTCCACCCTTCCATTTAAAGCTTCTTTCTCTGCTTATTTTTCCCCACAGATTGTAAACTCCTTGAGGGAGGGATTATCCTTCTCTTTTTGTATCTGTATCCCCAGCAGTTAGCACAGCACATGGCACATAGTAGGAGCTTAATAAATGTTTAGTGACTATTAACTAGGACACCAGCCTTCAGAGGATAATGCTCAGACCTTAATCTACAAATACTTAGCAGATACACACCTAAATTTTGTAATTAATGGTTGAGTAATCCTTCCTCTCCCCTAAACTATATTTGAGCTCAAGTCATTTTTTTGGGAGGGGGGACGACAAAAAAAGAAATGAATGAAAATCTTTTAAATTATTATCTCAATCCTTACCTACTTTAAAAAATTAAAATAAAAGGGCCCATGTAGCTCAAAACTAAAGGAAAGACAACAAAAAAAAGTTAAGTTTTTTTTTTTACTGTATAGAATTTTATATGATCATGTATCTGTGAAAGAAGGAAATTAAAAAAACAAGATTACTTAATTATCTAGAATGTTAATAGTGTACGTAATCATCAATGTAAAATGTAATCTTCAGTGTTCCATTTTCTGTAGTAAAACCCAAACATAAACTTTTAAGATAACATACTGTTTTAATGATTGCTTAACATTTATTACTTCTATATTAATTAACATATATTGAAAATTGTTAAATTTTCTACAAAGATCTAGAATACTAACTAAATAACTCAAAGCTTTCCATTCAAATCTCTGATGTATATGTGGTTGTCTCTTATCATACCTTTTGGAGTTTCTGGTTAATGTCTCCTCTTGCTGTAATCTTTACTTGGAGTTCTGCTTCGTACTCTTCTCCCAAATATCGACGACGCTTAGACTGCACATGATCCATATCTTCTGATTTGGATCGTTTTCTCCGTGACAACAATTCATCTGAAAGCACAAAACAAAATGAATGCTCAGTAATTGACTGTATTGCTTCTTATAACAAATTATCTTTTCTACTGCTTTAGATCAAAAGAATTGTCTCATTCCTCATTACACAATAAAAATAAACAAAAAATTTCTAAATATTAATCCGGTGATAGAAAGGAGACAGAGAAGAAACAGTTAAAAAATGGAAAGAGAATCATCCTGTTACTATAATAGGAAATGAAGTGCTATTAATATATCTTCAATTTTTTTTAATCTGTGAGAAGTAGCTAATGCTTTTATTAGCACATGGCATACTTTTTCCAGGCCTTTCTTCTTCTTTATGAGCTTCCTTTTCTTCTTCTATTTTTGAATCCTTTTCTTTTGTCTCTGTTTCTACTGTTGGAAAAAAAAAGAGTAAATTTTACATGTGTAAGTTCAAAGTAACTCATTATAATTCTATTTTAAAAATCATGATAATAGTTATGAAAATAACAAAAGTCAACTTCAACTTTAAAAGAGTAAAACAAGAAAACAGGAAGAATGACTACTAAAACTACCTTAAGAAAGTTGCTGTGAAATTTTCTATTCATATTAAAGCTGAAATATAGACCTTTCCTTCTTCCCTCCTTTCTTTCCTTCATCTATCTCCCTACCTTTTTATCCCTATCATCTATCTTTTTTTTCTCTATCTCCCTATCTTGCTCAGGATGAAAGTGTAGAAGCCACTCACATGCTGATCCCACCACTGATACAACTTGGTGGGAGGCCCACTCCAGGAGGTTCACCATATTAATGCTGAACTTACTGGGGACAGCTGATCAGCAAAGTTTACTGTAGCTCAGATTCCCTAACCTCAAAAGATTGGCCAGGCTCAACCTTCCTGCTAGCTGGGATTATGGCTATGTACCACCCAGTCCAGCTACATACAGATTTTCTTAAAATGCAGTTTATACAGAAAACTTAAGTTAAGATGCCTTTAACCTTTGATACCTTAAATATGAAAAAAGCTATTGTAACATAAATAAATGCATTTCTTTAAGTTCAAAATAGTTAGAAAAACTGAGAATCACAGGCTGTTTACAAATGGAAGGTTCTTTTACAAAAGCAAATTTTACTGAAAGGGTTCAACTCTCATGTTTTCATGGCAAAAATATTAAGGAAAAGAAATAATACAAAAAGAAACATCAAGTGATATATTAGAAGTACCTAAGAAAAATAATAAAAACAATGAAAAGTCCATGGCAAAAAATGTTGGCTGAAAAGATCTCCCTCAGTTGACACTCAGATATATGTCCCAAGAAGTATTATGTACTATACCAGGAGTGGAGAAACTGCAGTCTTGAGGCCACATGTGGCTCTCTAGGTCCTCAAGTGCAGCCCTTTGATTGAATCCAAACTTCACAGAACAAATCCAAATTACTAAGGGTATCTGTTCTGTGAAGTTTTGATTCAATAAAGGGCCACACCTGAGTGAGAAGTGGAACTAGAGGCACAGCGTGTAGACAAGAGAGGTGTGAATATGGGTACAATCTCTCACAGGAAAGAGGGTGGATGAAATCAAGAGTAATAGTGGGGAATACGGCCTTGGAAAAGAGGAAAAACTATCTCTTCACCATAGACTAGAGTAAAGGAGGAGGGAATGAGGGATGATATCAAGGGTTTTGAGGGGTAGAATGCAATAGAAGACAAAAGTCATAGTAAATATCCCCTTTTCCTCAGTAGAGAGCAGAGATCCTCTGGGGAGAAGGTAACGTAAAAGCATATGTGATATGGAAGGCTCAACATGTACAAAGTGTTTGAAGCTGGCTAAGGGCAATGGGGTTGAGAATCAGTTAAAGTGGAATAAAAGGATTTGCCTAGCCTAGGTGAGATTAGATAATAAAGATTCATCAAGGGTTGAGTGACATTCTCTAGCACCTTAAAAAGCATGAAGTGAGTACATGCAGAGAAGGTAGGGGGTAGAAATAATCTGGGATGGGCATTTTGCAAGACAGAAGCAGTAACAGAACAAGGGGACAAGAGATTTAAGACTAGAGGTTAGTCTAACTATAAGGTAAAGACTGGGAAGAAAGCAAGGGTTAATGGCCTCAAAGAGAATTGAAAGAGACTGGAGGGATTGAAGGCCATGGCAAGGATGAAGAATAGTTTGAGGAGGAGTGAAGCACAGGGAGAGACAGAAAAATGATGGTGAGTAATAGTGGGATAAAAAGTTTTTGATCATGTAAACTAGAACACTTGTAATGATGGTGAGACTGAGGATATGATGCCCCCTTGTGGCTGAGGCACAGTAAAGGAGTAGGTCACAGGAACTAAGACAATTAAGGAACTGGGAGGACAGGGAGTTTGAGGTAAAAATCGGTGTGTAAAAGTGAAAATCACCTAGTATAAGGGCCAGAGTTGAAGTGAAAAAAAAAACATGTATATGAGTGAGGTACTGAACACCTGAGAAAGAAGGAAAAACAATGGTGGGGGGGCAGTCTGGAGACAACTGACATTAGGGTCTGGATTACATGATAAATCTAGAGAGAATGATTCTCAAAGAAGTTGTATAAGAAGGTACAATCAGTATTATAAAAGATGGTTAGGGATACAGTGTTTTCTGGAGAAAGTTAAATTCCTGTGGGTGCCAGAAGATGGAAAAAGCAGGGAAGAAAACCATCTAAGATGAAAGGAAGTTTGTTAACAATAGCAAAGAAATTCCATAGAGCATAACAGAAAGACTGAACAGAGCTGGATTAAGATATGGAAGGGCTGAGGTAGATGGGGGATCAGAAAACAGGAAGTGGTAGCAGGAAGCAGGGGAATGGGGGATGGTTTCTGCTTAGGCAGTAAGGAATTATGTATCATTGGGAATGAAGGAATAAGAGATGAAAGACTGCCATAAGAGATAAATATCCTTTTAACTAGCTTTATACCCTGGAATCCTATGAATGGTTAGAGGGTACTTAGTTCTCTTTCAAGTGTTAAGAAAAAAAAGACATTGAGCTTGGGGTTAATGGCTCTTCTCATAGGTGAGGTACTGGCAACAAAAGATACAGTATCTGAGTTTTGGGTTCTACAAAGATTCTTTGAAGCAAAGGATAGCATTTGGTATTTAAAGATGAGACTGTCATATTCTTTACATATTTTTCATTTGCAATAATCTCTGTCGCCCTCTTCAGATCAATTTTAAGGAAGAGGCCACAGTCCTTTGTACCCCTCAGAGCAACAGACAGGGTTTGTCTGTGCACACAGAAAGCTCTCAAGTATTTGTTTACTGTTTACTGATTATTCTTCAGCAATATCTTGAATTTACATAGTACTTTAAAGTTTACAAAGACCTTTCTCCATAATAACCCTGTGAAGCAGGATATTTTTATTCTTACAGACAAGGAAAATGAAACTCAACCTGCTTAACTGAATTTCCCCATTGTCAACTGTAAAAATGGGAATTGAAACCTATTTCTCCTAAGAATCCAAAACACTTTCCACAAGGCCACAGTGATGAGAGAAATGATTTGAGGAAGAGACAAATTTCAGGTGATGAAATGGTAACAGCTCACATTATAGGACTTTTAAAAAGCTTTTCCCACACGACAGAAATGTCTGGTGCGTGTGAGCAGGCTGCAACATAAAACCAACAAAAAATTTCTAACAAAAGTAGTAAAAGGCATCAACAGGGAAATGAATAAAGATAAGTTGGTCACATGATCACAAGACAGGGGGGTAGCTCCACTGATATTCTAAGGAGAAATTAAGATAGTAGGTGAATGTCCTCTGGCAAACTTATGGGAGAATATTGAGAAGAGTCCCAGAGGATGGGCAAGGATGAACTAAAATCTAAATCTCAACAGAGAATTGGATATCATTGAGATCAAAGATCCATTTGAGTTTTCTCCACACCAACCCTTAAGTAGTCCAAGTATTTTTACCTTTACTTTATAATAATGAAACTGAGAAGTCAGAAAAGTTTTAAAATTTTAATGAAAAGTTTACTAAAAGTTCCTGACTCTTAGTTCATTACTGTAAATCAACAACCCTACACTGGCTGCGCAGATAATACAGAAAAGGAAAAGAAATAAATGGCCCTAGGGAAGAGGTAAGAAGTAAGAGGCATCCCTGACAGGGTTACTAGTTTCTGCTATCTAAGCCTTCTCTTTCCAAACGTGAGGAAAACAGACTGTAGTTCCTTAATTTAAGCTACTGCTTAAATGTTTTTTAAAACATATTTTGCTCTGAGAAGTCCCTGGAGTGCTAATACAACTGTTACTTCAAAGTAAAGCAAAGCAATTCTTTTCAAAATTTCCTTCTTTCCTTACTAAAAAGACATAAGAACAAATATAGTAGTTTTAAAATAATTAATACTCATACTCAAATATATTAAACACATACCACTGAAAAAGTTTTTACAGAAAAGAAAACCACATAACTAGCCAAATTCAAAGCCATTTTATTGTACTCCTTTTCTTTGACCTCTCTGAAATATCTAACTCTAAGGTCTTCTCCCTCTCTTTGATCCTGTGAGTCTATTTCATTTCCTCCTAACTCTAAACCAACTCCTTTTCCGGCTCTTTCCCAAATGTGTGCATTTCTCAAGGTTCTGTCCTGAGGCCTCTAATCTGCTCTTTTCCCACTCACATGTCATCTACAAAAAATTATTTTAAGTGTCAGTTCCCAGAGGATGACTCCCAATATCTCCAATTTAAGAAGTGACCTCAAGTTTCCATTCTGTATTTTCAAGTGGCTAAGTCTAAGAGACATTTTACAACTTACATATAACAAATTAGGCTTTGAATTAGCCAGTGAAAATTAACTAAAATCCAAATAGCACATGAAATAGTATCCAGTCTATATGTAATGAAGAAAATAACATAAAACTTAAATCCAAACTCTCTAACCTGGAGAACTTGATTCATTTGGCAAGACAACTTCAACATCTTTTTCACCAGAAGCTTCCTCTTCATCAGAGAGTACCAAGAAAGCTTCTTTCGGCAAACTCTCACTACTCTCTTGTTTGGATGGCGAACCTAGAGAATTTTCCAATTTTTCTCCCAAATCTGAGTTTGTCTCTTCAAGTGGAATGAGAGAAGTTTTAGAAAAGCTAAGTTCATCTTCAGCAGGAGCCAGCTTTTCCAAAATGGGAATAATTTCATCTGTCTCCATAGAGTCTGTGTTGTCTAAAATTTTCTCATTTTTATCATCTTGAACATTTTCATCAGTGGTTTCTGGAAGACCTGGAGATTTCTCATCTTCACTTTTTGCATCTTTGCCTATTTCCATACTGCTAGATATTGCTTCTTCTTCAAAAGCTGACTCTGTAACAGGATTTTCATCCATATTCTTTTCACCTTCAGTAGGAAGTTCAGAACTAATAGGTACATTATTTGTTTCCAGTTTTTCTTCCTCAGTTTCAATATTATCACTAACTATAGTTTTGTCTTCAAGTGGGCTCTCTCTTTCTCTTTGGTCCAAATTTTCATCATCTGTGCTATTTTTTTCAAGGATATCATCATCATCATCATCATCATCATCATCTTTATTGCTATTAGGAATTATGTTATCAGTTTCAGGGACAGTGTCTTTTTCTGGTTCATAAATTATGTCTTCAGGAGATGCTGTTTCACATTTTAGACTTGAATTTTCATCCTCTTCTCTTACATCAATATTTAAGAAATTAGGGGAGGGTTCCTTCAGTTCGGACTTCCTTTCTTCAAGGTCCAAACAAACATCTTCTATGCCATTCACCTCCTTACCATCTATACAGTCAGTATTATCTAATGGTGAATTTAGGTCAGAATCACCATTTTCATGTTTGCCATTTAACAGTTTGACATCAGTTTTTAGTAGCTCTTCTTTGACTTTGTATACTACTTCAAGTTGCTGACGATCACTCACTCTCATTGTTTTTCGGGCTTTAAAGATTTTTTTCTGAGGTTCTTCTGTACTTTCCATTTTGAATCTAAAACAAAAAAAGAATAACCATATGAATAGTCATTTTCATATACAATAAAATGTTTTTAATAAACCATGTACTGACAATACAAAATGATCACTGGTCTCAATAGAAAAACTTACAGAAACTGTTAGCGTGGTATGAAAATTACTTCAATACTACAAGCCCATACCACTCTTCATGAGTTTTTCCTTAAATATTATTATCAGTACATACTACGCTACACTAGAATTTAAAAAAGAGGACATTTCTGTTAAGAACAGAAATACCGAGAAATAAGGTGCTTACCAATAGGCAAGTACCTTCCCTTTTAAAATGATTGCTTTCATATCACTTTCACACTGTCTTTGCTAGTTCTGCCTTTAAGTAGGAATAGTAACCTCTAATACCTGACATTTATTTAACACTTGACGGTTTGCAAAGCACAATTATCTCATTTACAACTCATAAAAAACCCATGAAAAATGTACTATTGATATATCACTCCAATTTTACATGATAGGAAACTGAGGCTAGGGTTAACTGGTATGTCCAAAGTCACACAGGAAATGAGATACAAAAAGTAGGACTTGAACACAGGTCACTTCTGATTTCAAGTCCAGTGCTACCTCTAGTTAATTTTTAAAAATTAATATGAAAGCTTTTTAAGGTTATAACTGAAGACATATATTCTTCCACATTCTATATGATCATTTTAAATGACTCAAAAAGAACTAGCAAAGCTAATATTTACATTATGAAAATTAAAATTTTCTATTAGTTTCCAAGCAAATCAAACAAAAAAGGTACCTAATATTTACATTACCTTTATTTATTGACTTTTACCCTTACCAGTCTTTTCTCCTACACCCAATTTGAAAATAAAATGAAAACTTTTCCTGCACAATTAACTGCTCATTTTTATCCCCCCACCCCACCCCATTGTATTTTGTAGACTGACCTTACAATAAAACTGCCAGGAGAGTAAAAGTATCTTCTTGGAGTAGATAATGTTTTATCTCAGCAATGTAGGCAAATGATTAAAGAAGGAGTTATTTATTAGGTATTTGTTTCCAAATAGTCTTCCAATGAAATATTTTTAGAAAAACTGGCATTTTCGACGTTTATTCCAATTAAATAGGATAAACATTTACCCTAAGATTTATGAAACTTACAAAGTGAGTGAAGTATCAGAGAAAAATCCCTACATACACGCCAAAATATTTATAGCTTCATTTTTTGTGAGAGCAAAGAACTGGAAACAAAACGTATGTCCAATGATTGGGAAATGGATAAATAAATGGTGGCACATGAATAAAATGGAATATTACTATGCTGTAAGAAATGATATATGTGATAAATACAGTGAAGTATGGCAAGGTTTGTATGAACTGAAGCAGAGTGGTAAGCAGAGTCAAGAAAATGATATACACAGTAACTACAAGATAAATGAACGACCACACACACACTAACCCCCTCCCCCAAAAAATGGAACAAAATTATAAAGATCAAGCATGACTTGAATGAACAGATATGAGAGGATATTCCCAACCCACCCCCTTCAGGAGGTGGGAGGTCGACATGTATTACACGTTGCACATGTTTTTAGGGATCAGTTGTACTAATTTTTTCCTCTTTAAAAAAAAAATAATATTTGTTATATAGGATGGCTCTCTGGGAAGGAGTGAAAGGAATAATAGGGATAACTATGATGATATAAGAAACATAAAGCATCAATAAAAATTTATTAAAAATACTGCAGGAAAAGTAATAGAGAAGTCTTAGAAATATTCTTGTGATTCTTATGATAAGTTTACATACAGAAATGATACAAAATGGTAAAATCCTGGTGAGAACTTCTGAACTAGAGCAACCCTATGAAATACAGTGGAAAAATATTGTTATCCCTATTTTTCAGATGAAGAAACTGAGGTTCTAAGCAGTTAAGTGGGAGGCAGGTGGCACAGTGGATATAGTCCTGGACCTGAAGTCAGAAAGAACTGAGTTCAACTCTGGCAGCCTCAGGCACTTACTAGCTGTGTATAAGTAAGTAAGTAAGCAAGCAAGCCTCAGGCACTTACTAGCCTGGGTAAGTCACTAGACCTCTGTCTGCCTTAGTTTCCTCAACTGTAAAAATGGAGATAATAATAGCATCTACCTCCCAGGGTTGTTGTGAAGATCAAATGAGATAGTATTTGTAAAGCACTTAGCACAGTAGCTTGACCACAGTAGGCATTTAATAAATGCTTGTTCACTTCCCCTTTCCTTTACCAATTGTCACACAACCAATAAGTGTTTGAAGCGGTATTTAGACTATTTAATTAAAAATAATTTCAAACAAGAGCAAAGATTAATGAATAGATGTCAATCAGGAAAAGATTTCTCATGGAATGCCACAGGGTCAGTGTTCTCCTCAGTGATTTTTGTTCAACATTGTAATCATACATTTAGAAGGCAAAGTGACCTGTGTACTGTGTACTGTTCCCTCATTTTCTAAAGGTATGGAAACTCAAGCAGAGAACAACTCATCAAATCAGTAGTAAGTAGCTACCTTCTGTACTCTTACCCCAAATTCTTAAGTAGTGTTTTTTGGAAATTTGTGGAAGATTGGGAAGGAGAACTAATATATTAGGTGACAAAATCAGGCTCTAAAAACAAGCTAAATATTTCTAGATTAAATTTAGGAGAAATAAATTAAAATATTTGAACAAATCTTAATAAAACTCAGTTGGTACAAATATGAGATTGAGAAGCAATACCTAAAAATTCATTTGAGAAATAAAAACCTGGAGCTGCAAAGAGAGCTGCAAGTTCAACATAAGTCAGTACAGTCAGTTCTGTTATAACTCAAGATAGGCATTTTAAAAATCACTGCACAACTAATATGACAGAAAAGGAAAATAATAAATGTTGGAGGGGATGTAAGAAAATTGGGACAGTAATGCACTATTGGTGCAGTTGTGAATTGATACAATCACTCTGGAGAGCAATTTGGAATTAGCCCAAAGGACTTTCAAACTGTGCATATCCTATGATCCTGCAATACCACTACTAGGTCTATATCCCAAAGAGATCAAAAAAGGGGGGAAAGGACCTATTTGTACAAAAATATTTATAGCAGCTCTTTCTGTAGTGGCAAAGAATTGGAAATGAAGGGATGCATATCATTTGGGGAATGGTTGAACAAGTTGTGGCATATGAATATAATGGAATACTATTGTGCTATAAGAAATGATGAGCAGGCAGACTTCAGAAAAACCTGGAAAGATTTGTATGGACTGATGCTGAGTGAAATGAGCAGAACCAAGAGAACCTTGTACACAGTAACAGTCATATTGTGGGGTACTAATTTTGATAGACTTAGCCTTTCTCAGCATGCAAGGACCTCCAAAAGTGGAAAATGCTATCCACATCCAGAGGAAGAACTATGGAGTTTGAATGCAGACTGAAGCATACTATTTGCTCTTTTTTCTTTTTTTTCTTCTTCTGCTTACTGTCTTGGGGCGAGGGGGAGAAGGGAGAGAGAAAGAGAGAAAATGTGGAACTCAATTTTTTTTTAAAAAAGAATGTTAAAAGTTATCCTTACATGTAGCTGACTGAAAGTAAAATATTACTTAAAAAGACATTTATCCAAGAGATGATAAACATGTTCAAACTGGGAACTTGTCTGCTTTAATGGAAAACTATAGGCTATAATGAAAACTAGACTCAGGAAATGGACTGTTCAAAGGTATGTTTAATATGTAATGTATAAATATTTCATGCTGAATAATTAAAGAATGTATCAAAATCTTATGAACTCAATTCCAAGTCACATAACACAAATGACTGAAGCAAAAGGGGGGCATATTACATATTAAGACTTTTTAAAGATATAAAAAGTTGATTATTGTGTCAGTATTTTTTTTTTAAATCACTACATTATACAAAAGTATGCAATAAAAATTACAGGGCACAGGGGATTATGGGAACAACACTTCTAGTCATGGATGTTTCTTTTATTTTCATGGGTTGTTTGTCTCTGATGGTCAGCAATGCAAATTTCTTTATTCCTGTGGCTGGAGAGATATCAAATGCTCTCATTTCTTTTAAAATGCTTTATTATTTCAAACTTCTCCCCAGTACTTACAGTTTTCCTTTTGCATGAACAATCGATGCAAGGATGCTTAGGCATGTTTAAAATGTTGAATGAGTTATTTTTTTATATATATAGAAAAGTTCACAAACACAAAAGAATAGAAAAATACAACCTTGTAAGATAATTCATGTGGTGAACTGAGGTAGGCAGATGTATGAAACACGTGCATGTGTGTTTTGTGAATTCTTGTATCACTCAGTTCAGTTAGGTACAGTTTAATGTATTCATCTGGTGTTTCTCATGGGAAGAAAAACTGGAACATAAGCAAAATGTGAAATTCAAACTATGCTCAAATTATTTCCTAATATATCTATCATATTAGAAGAAGTTCATGTTTTCAAAATAAGAATCGTAGCAAAGTAACTTTCAGTGTGCCATGGCAGCAAAAAAAAAAAAAATTAATTTCTGGCTGCATTAAATTATGTAATTTTAGGATCCATAACAAGGGATATATATGTCATAAATATTATTACCAACCAGACCACGTCTGGAATATTAGAATAATTCGGAACCCCATATTTTAAGAACAACGACAACCAGAAATGAGAAAGTCTTGAAATAAGACACTTGCTACAGCAATCAGGGCACAAAACAACCATTGTTGTCCTTCAAGAACTCTGTGTTATAGATTAAGGGAACGTTCCACAGAGAGGGGGGACTGCTCTCCACTCCCCACCCTGCCAAAAGAATGATCAGGAGAATCTCACATATGCTCCTAGGAGAGAAGCTATCAAATACTGGCCAGAGAAAAAAAGACATAAGTAATGATGGCTGGTCACTCTGAGAGGGTGATGAAGTCGCTATGTGCTAAGGTGACCTGAGAAATAAGAAGAGATGATAGCTCCACTAGACGTGCATCTAATATGTGCAGAGATTCCTGAGAATGGCC